CAAGTATTAAATTAAAATAATGCGGATTTATTGTTTTGTACAATACTTTTTTCACCCCAAAAAGTGAACATGTTGCATTGTTTTTTGTTGCATTGAGATTTAATTTCTTTTGATAGTATTTTTGAATACTATGCGTCTCTATACATAATTTAAATCACTTTTCCTGTTAAGTTTGTGTACTTACATACATTAAAATACGATTTTTCAAGTGTACGAATATTTATTTCCCCCCACTGTACATCATCTTGAGTGTGGCTTTTTTTGGGGGGGAATGACCTATGTCTTATGTCCTACAGACTCAACTATGTAATTCAAGAATTAGCCTATTTAAGTTGGTTTATACACAAAAAAGTGCATGTATTATTGTCTAAATTCATGATAATGGATCAGAAAAAGAACCTGAAAATATATTTTAGGTACTATATTAACTAACACCTGTGAAGGCTGTAATATTTTTTAACTTGGCAAAAATGCGCTAGATTAATTTTTAATTTGAACACACTATGTTAACTAGGTATACCATTTTTTTAACCCCATTGATGACCTTTCTTTATTATGAGGATTTTTTATTTAATTTATCATTTATATAATAATTAATGTGCTATGTAAATAATCATAATGCAACCATGTGTGATGTGTTACTGATGTGTACCTGTTCAACTTTGAAAAATTGTAAATTTTTGAAAAATATGAATATAAATAAGCAATTGTAATTTGAGAATTTCATTTCTGTGGTCATAATAAATTTGTAAATTTACATGGAGTTGGATCGCTATCGTGAACAGTTGCCACCAGTCAAAAATTTCCAGACAATCAGAATCACAATCTATGTCTCTGAAGAGCCTAACACTAACTGACCAAGAGGCACCCTGTTATAGTTATTTTGCACACTCATACTTAGTATGACTTATAAAAGCCTTAACATTGCAAAGTGATTTTAGTGATAAATTGATCTTTAAGAAGACTGGCACTTTGGAGTTTTGGATGCTGTCTGTAATGTTGAGACACTTGGTAAAAACCCATTCTAACTTTCACAAAAATGTTTAGCTCATAAATCTTATTTTCTTTGTTACAAACCACTGTACCATGGTTTGAAATCCTTGAGCAGTTAAGATAGGTAGCCTAATCTATGTCTATGGCAAAATCCAGTTTATAATTTAGTAAAAAATTTCAAGTTGATATCTATTTAAAAGGTGCTATAATTTAAATAAATTAATTGGAAAAACTTGTTATTAATAATGCTTCTGGATATCCAGACAAACTTCTATGACTTAAAAGATCCTGAGAATTATCATTGTCATGTTATTATTCACTTTTTCTGGTTTCATTACATAGAACTTTGTACTCACACAAGCAATTGAAGCAAATAATTAATCATATTTTCAGATTAAATGGCCATGCAGTCATCTGAGCTCCTGTTTACAGCAGAGGCTGTGCAGCACAACTTCTGAAATACCCAAATTACAGCATGGAACTTCTCTGCCTACAATTATTGATTTTCCTTCCTTTCAGACCAGGTAGATTTGTCTTGTCTCATGTGCTGTTAAACATGTTTTCCAGATCCAAGTGATGCCTGTCTGTATATAATACTTAGCAATTGGTCTTCCATATTCTCTGTATGTATTCTAATGGCTGCCAGGTTAGTTTGTTTAGTCTCCAAGATTGGCTCCATTATGAATAGTATACAGGAAAATAAAGAGTAAATAAATTATAAGAGAGATATGTGTGAATATTAGGATTAAGAATCGTGTTCATAAAATAAAATCTGCTCAGAATCTTTAGAATACTATCTGAACATTTTCTTTTTATCAATTTTTCTGCTTTTATCCAGGATCAAGAAATTCATAAATATGCATTTGCCATTTGTATTCTATTGATCATGTGGATTTTTTCTTGAGGGTCAAGTTAAGAGGAATGCATTATGTATGTATAGACTTGAGTTGCATTTGCAGTTGTCCTTCATTGATAAGTCCGCTATTTTTGAAGCAACTAATTATATTATATGCAGCGTTTGGCTTTATTCATGTTAATTGAAATTACATTACCTACCACTTAATTTTTAAAGTGTAACAAATTGAATTACCTACCTACATTAGTTGGCTATTCAATCAAGTAAGAAGTTCCAGTTGATTATTTTCCTTTGTTGCTGTTCATGGTGAAAAACGTGCAGATCCATCCAGGCTCCACGTGAGGCATTGGTGGAGACCCTGTATGATGAGGACTCTGTGGGGCTTGTGTCCCTGAATCCAGAGGTGTTTGGTCAGCTCCCCCTCCTGCATGTCATGCATGACAACATCAAGTGGCAGACTCAATACAAACATATTGTCAGTGCTCCTGATATAATGATATGAATGTTCTTGTTACATGTCAGTGGTTATATTAGTCATGAAAGTTGTTGTGAATAATGATGTTTTAGTATTTGGATTTGATGTCATATAAGGAGATATTTTGAGAGGTAATTATAAATATAAAATAATGTTAGTGGGTAAGATGAATACAAAGACATTCTGAGTGATGAAATGTTTGGAAAAGTGGCATTTTTCTGAAAATTTTTTGAGAATCTAGTGTGGCAAGTGAATGCAATTTGTTGATTCAAAAATGTTGGTCAATTGTTTTCCTTAGAAAAAAAAACAATTAATAGTGGTCAATATTATTCTGAGCGTAATTATTTCATATTGTTTTGTTTTTATGCTATAAAACAATTATGTAATTGTTTTATATATTTATGTTCTGTTTTCCAGAATTATAATCATGCATTATCACGCCATGAGTGCCGAGGCGGTGGCAGGAAACCTTGGCCACAAAAGGGATTAGGAAAGGCCCGGCACGGGTCCCGCAGGTGTGTAGTGAGGGACGGGCCCGGCACGGGTCCCGCAGGTGTGTAGTGAGGGACGGGCCCGGCACGGGTCCCGCACGGCTCCCGCAGGTGTGTAGTGAGGGACGGGCCCGGCACGGCTCCCGCAGGTGTGTAGTGAGGGACGGGCCCGGCACGGGTCCCGCAGGTGTGTACTGAGGGACGGGTCCCGCAGGTGTGTAATGAGGGACGGGCCTGGCACGGGTCCCGCAGGTGTGTAGTGAGGGACAGGCCCGGCACGGGTCCCGCAGGTGTGTAGTGAGGGACGGGCCCGGCACGGGTCCCGCAGGTGTGTACTGAGGGACGGGTCCCGCAGGTGTGTAGTGAGGGACGGGCCCGGCACGGGTCCCGCAGGTGTGTAGTGAGGGACGGGCCTGGCACGGGTCCCGCAGGTGTGTAGTGAGGGACAGGCCCGGCACGGGTCCCGCAGGTGTGTAGTGAGGGACTGACCAAGCACGGGTCTCAAATGTGCCTTCTGAGGTACAAGTTCGGCATGATGAAATTTCTTAAATTCAGCTCTCCATATCTTCATTATTTTATGAAATAATTAAGAGTGACGGCCGCCACTAATCACGCTGATGTGGCTCAGGTCTCCGCTGTTCCTGAAGGGAGGTGTCGCCCACGGGCCCCGACGCTACACCACCAAGTTCTACATGCTCGCCTACGGCAACCGCGTCCTGGGCCTTACCAGCGCCCTCTCCGCCAAGTTTGCCCAGGTTTGTTGTGTGCTGGGTACCCTGAAATGTGTGCTGGGTACTCTGTACTGTGTGATGGGCTATGCGTGCCTTGAACTATGTTTGCCCTGGGCCATTCGTGCCAAGGGCCATGCATGTCATGCACCATGTTTAGATGGAAGGGCCGGTGGTTGCCGTGAGTGCACCGGTATACTTGTATTACAGTGCAGTTTTTTGCGGTCTGGTTGTGCACTTGTGTTATGGTTCAGTTATGTGGTATAGTTTTATCAATCAGCGTGCACCACGCTACAAGTCTTGCTTTTGTGCACAGGACGACCTGAAGGTGGTGCGCAGCCTGGATGTGGCGTCGTCAGCCCCCGAGCCGCTGCTGGAGCTGCTTGAACAGCGCCTCTGGGGGCCCTCGGTGCTGTTTGTGCACACGTGCGTTCTCATGCGTCATAATGTCTTGTTTTCATGATTATTATTTCATTTACCTTTTTGGCATAGTTACTGCTGTTCACCTATTTTTGTCTTCCTCGTTGTTTTAACACCCATTTCAGGTATGTTAATGATTATTTGTTTTATTGTTTTATTTGGTTACACTCTTTTGAGCCACTAAGCATTTTCCTGGACGCCGTTGCTTATTTCTCTAGCAATATAGTCCATCCAACCATCGAACTTATAAAATGGCTAGAACGATGCATTCTGGTACAGGGAAACGTTTGTAAAGAACACTTTGGTAATAGCAAAAGAAATTCTATTGTTTCGGCTTGACTTTGGTCACCTAAAATTGCCAATCTACGCCTAAACGCACGATTAGTTGCGTCGATCCTGCGACGAAAAGTCGTTAAGAAACTTCCTCATATTCTAAGTTTCCGGAACGAAGATGGTATGTAGTGCGGTCCCTTATGGAGAGGTACAGTCGCCCCAACCGCACCACGAACCATTATTATGGCCATCTCTTTTGATGGTTTCACTAATGCAGTCGTTCTCTCAGCTTTGAATTAGTCTCCGTGCCTCGTCACTTCTTTAGCGTCTCACGATATAGACGCACTCAGAAACAATGAACAAGTCATATTGTCCAAATAATGGCACTTTCTTAGCCACGGTATGAGCTTAGAGCAAATGTAGCACTTCTATTCGTTTTGCCGGACCAAAGTGGGTTAAGATCATCCACACAAGGACGAAAAGTGCCTTGTATTTTGGGCAACTCTCGCTCATTTCCTGAGACTCGCTCGTGCCTGAACGTCTGGATGCGAAGGGTATCCCCACACAACGGTTGGTATTAAACATTATCGACTAATCAGGCCTGGTTTAAAATACTTTCTAATTTAAGGCTAGCTGGTAAAAGAGTCTTTCCGTGTACAGTATAACTAACATTGGTTGTAATTCTTCAAAATGCGTGTTTTTTTAATTATTTTATGCTCTGAATTTTTGTTTCTAACTTTGCGCACCCTCTAAAGAGTGAGCCATTCGTTTTATTTTGAGGATCATCCCATACGTCGCAGATATTTTTTTTTGTTATTTCGGCTGCTTCAAGTCATACCGGATGGTGGCCACCCCAGCTGGGCGCTGAATGTTGGACTGTGATGGAAGTCGTATCTGATTGGATCTTATGTTGAGATGTGCTAATGTTGTGATGTGTGGTGTTAATTGCGTTATACCGACAAAGCTTTTTTCCGATAGGAAATACTTGTAACAATCGTCGAAACGGTTGCTTGGTTTTGGCACTCTACTTTAAATGCAAGTCTTAAGCAGAGTTATAAAATAGGTTTTTTCTCTCGCTGATGGAATTTTTTTCGCAGGGATGACATCATGCCCGAGAAGATCTGCAAAGCAACCGAAACAATTGGCCATATAAATCTCATGCCCGTATACGGTGAGTGTTGGTACTAAGTAAAGCGTGTGGATTATTCTGTAGCATACAGGATTTTCGGAAAAAAATTGTACAATGCGCTACATAACTTATAGCCTGAGAAGCCCTGTTACTATTTGGGAGTCTAACGATAAATTCAATAATTATAACTCAATTATGACCTCAGAGATATGAGCTGTTTCCATGGTCAGGCTCCTCGCGTGTTCTTGTGTTACAGCATGTCTAGTGCTGTTCAGTAACCGCCTGGGGCCGTACTTTAAAAAAAAATACTGAAGTAGATAGCGTTCTAAGTACACGTAGTGGCCAATTTCTCAACTGTGATTGGCGAGTTCAGCTAGAAAAGCCGCCACTGATTGGCTCAGTAGCTGTTATATGCTCGAAAGTAAGTCCCTGGTGTTGATACCTGATCTCCTGCCAGGGCTGAACGTGTACTCGATGTTGAAGCACGACACGCTCGTGCTGACGGTGCCGGCGCTGCGGCTGCTGGAGGAGCGCCTCATGCACGCCATCTACAATACCGCCGGCGCTCACCTCCACTCCCCCACCCAACTGCTCTGAGCTTCAGAGCTCGGCGTGTTTCAGGGCTGTATTTACTACGAATGCGGGGCCTCTTCGGGACTCAGCGGTCTCGAGTTGCAGTCCGGTGTTATCAAGTAAAGTGTTTCATTAGAGGAAAATTATCCACAGGATAATTGCCACAAGTTAGGCACTGTTGGCAGTGATGAACACCGCTCCTTTTCGTCTCAACTGTATTTATTTTGTCGAGCGCTTGGTTCAAGAAGATAAATCTATGTTACTGATGACAGTACAAGATATTGCATCCGTCTGTGTGGTTATTGTAGAAGCATTTGAGGGCAAGGATCCAATAACTCAGTTTGCTCTTAACTCAATGGCTTCAAACATTTTGTTTGTTGTAACCTTGCGATGTGTGAATCAAAATGCGAGAGACTTGCACATGCATTTATTAGTAAAAGTACTCATAAAATGATTGTGTTATAACTACGTCCGCAGAGCATTGTTAACCTGAGCAACTCTCACGTTCAACGCAACTCTGAGTAACTAAGAAAAAACTGACAAGACGACAATAACTCGGGTTCTTAACTTAAACATTGCTCTGATCAGGTAATGACTGTGAATTTCGTTGTAAATAAATGCATTACTATAACCTGGTTGAGACCAGACCAAGAGAATACTCTTGTTAAATAATGCCCTTAGAAAGCCCAGTGTGAGCTCCGGTGTAGGATATGGAAACAAGATGGGCGAGTTTTAAATAAAATTATGGAAATACTCGAGCAGCTTTACAATTTCGAATTGATTACATAAGTAAATGAGGGCTGAACAACACTACAGGTTAAATGGGAGACACGTAATGGTAGTTACAATAAGCATACACAATAACTCATCGAGAATCTTTACAAGAACAGCGGTTCGCGTTTGATGCCGAAGTAATTGACACGAGTGCTGCATACATCAACTGCAGTGCACACACCGGAGTACATCAACTGCAGTGCACACACACCGGAGTACATCAACAGCAGTGCACATACATCAGAGTACATCAACTGCAGTGCACATACATCAGAGCACATCAACAGCAGTGCATACACACCGCAGCACAACTGGGCTGCGTATACTCGGCGTCATATGCACATACCGACGCGACACCAGCCTTGCCAGCCAATCAACGAACACTGCAGCACAAAAGTCACATAATTGTGCAGTTCATGCAAATAAATGTGAAACATAGTTTGTTATTGAGTTGAAGTTGATGTGATGATAACCAATAAGAAAGAAGGCATGATAAACCCGGCCCCGTACATGACGAGCCAACGTATAATATAAATACAATGGATCCACGTGATTGCTGGTTACGTGAAATATGACATGAACGCTGTTTGCACCTGAAGCAGTGATAGCGTTGGTTGCACAAGCGATTCTTTTAAACATTTATTTTTCAATGTAAAGCAGAAAAGAAAATAGGCAAAAGCCCCAACTGAATTCGGCAGTATGGCATATACATTGACGTGTTATCGCAGTCGGCTTAGCGCTATTAACATCATAAATCTATCACGACTAATGTCAGGTAATTTAGTCATCATTATTATCATCTGTAACACTTATTCAGGAGAGCGTGCCTAGGCTTAACAGTATTCTTTTGGAGCCTAAGATATACTATGCAATAATTTGCTTTCAACTGTGTCGAAACACCAAGTCTATACTCAAAATATAGACCATATCGTTCGTCTCGCACTAGAGCACGAGTTTCATTGATTTTGTCAATCGCGATCTGCGATGCTCCGACTTACGATTATACGAAAATTACAAATATTCCGTTAGTTACAAATTTTGTAAGTTGTGATCGTCGTTAATGTGCCATCACTGTTAACATTACGATCACCGTGGTTATTACTCAGAATCTAACCCAGAAAAATCAACTTGCAAAACTTGCTATCACCTCGTATGACAGTTTTGACAAAATCGATACTCGCGTGTACGATCTCGCGCAATAATGTAGTGCAATCGCGCTAGGAGCAGTCATTTGAGTGGCAATTATGTGATTTACAAGTTATTCCTGCAGGCCAGGAAGGTCAATCTTTACGCTATGAGAAACTTGCCGTGCTGTAACACACATTTTTCATCAACAAAAGCTATGCGACTGAATGACATTATTAATAACATTGGTTACAAGTTTAATGCTTAGCAGGAAAACGATCGTCGTATTTGCACATTTGGTTTGACCAAGTTTTAAAAAGTACGTTTGTAAAAGTTAGAGCGAATATTCGCGAGTGTAAATGTGAGAAGGATGAGCGAACTGGATGCAGCGCGAGGAGTGAGGTAGCGTCAGGCAGCCAGAATAACGACACAATAGGGGCAGCACATCACGAACACGATAAGAATAAAGCTAGAACTACAGCCGCAGCATTTGAAAGTCTTAAGTAGTCTCTCTAGACAAAGTTCAGGCTTTAATACTTGAGTATTGTTCTCAAAATAAAAGTTTTAAACAAGTTTTACAAACACGATTCATCAAAAGAGAAAATTTCTCTCGGTATTTCTCAGATGAGAGATAATGAATTTAAAACTAGTCATAAATATTGGCCAATGCATACGATTCTGCGCGGGGATACGAATATCAAAGAAATTTCTGCGATTGAAGCCTTAACAAACTTATAAATTAACTGCATACTTCGTGAAAAATCGAAGAATTCATTCGTTTCAAATTTCCATTAGCGGTACCTCTCCATTTACACTTAATGTTTTGTTATAGGCAACAATAAATTTTCGATACATTAGCGAAGAAGAAGGAAAATACTTAAGAATTAACTCTCTAGGAGGCAACTTAAGGGGACGGTCTAACCTAAATTGGAGATAGCCTATAACTCCTAAAGTTATTATCCGATCATCATGAAACTTCACATTCAAACGTAAAATGTAAAAATAAAAACATTTTACTTCTATGAATTTTTCGAAAAAATTGATAGAAAACGTGACCATAGGTAATAGTTAAAGGGCCTAAAAACTGCCCTTCTTTGGGAAGCTGTCACGAAATCATTTTTTGACGCACAGGGATGATTCTGGTACCGTTGAATGCGTTGAAAAGTGAGCTTTAAGATGAGCCCAAAAAGTGGAAAACGCCTAAATTGAAAATTTTAGGTTAGACGGTCCCCTTAAAATGCTTCGTTTTACCGTACGCGGTCACATCCGGGAACTGGCGAGATAATCAACATATTATAAATATTTGAAAGTCAAGTAATTCATTGTCGCAGACTATGCCATATCATACTCGCTGATTACCCAATTCATAATAGCAGATAACAGAATTCATAGTCGCAAATTGTGCAATTCGTATTCATAAAATATGTTGTGCATAATAGGCTGTAGATGCAAAGGGCCGCAGAGTGCGGAGGTGGTCCACGAGGTGTACGCACGATCGTGGACCAGAAGCTCAATGAGATATGGCGATCTGAATACATCAGCTAACAGAACACTGAACGTATAGCCCTAGAACAGTCATAGACATAATTAGCTAAAAAGCAGCTCCAGGACAGTAAAGATTGAAGTCGTCAGAGTTACGACCTTCAGGGCCTGATGTAACGATCCAGGGGCCATACCTTCAAAACTCACTAAGTGAACGTAAGTACTAACGCTCTAATTTCTTGTCTTTGATTGGTGGATTTTGCTAGAAAGACCGTCAAAGATTGGCTGATGAACTGACGATCGCTTAACTTTTTTTGAAAGTATAGGCACAGATCTTGATAGTATTAGTATGAACACTGCGCATGTGTCCGCAACAATGACGTGTCAACTCTGCACGTGATGCCGTCGACACCATGGCAGACGATGAGAGTAAGACGCTCAACTTTGCCCTATTATTACGTAAGTAAGCTAAGCAAGGAACTTGAGAGTTCGGTCGATCTTAATTAACTGAAGACAAAAATGCACGAATCTCGAGTCAACACATACGCTACATGCACAGGACACTTGGCACTCAAATTTAAGGATTATATTATACGAAGTTTATTTCTTAAAAGCGCACGCAGCTACGACTTCGTTATTGTGATGAACAGGGCCCATACTTTCAAAAAAAGTTAAGAGATCGTAAGTCCATCAGCCAATCACTGACGGCCACGCAAGCAAAATCCACCAATCATAGACAAGAAAATAGAGCGTAAGTACTTACGTTCACTTAGCGAGTTTTGAAAGTATGGCCCCTGAACAAAAGACCTTAGAAGGCCCCGAAGTAAGAATGCATCGAGAAAATCAAACAGTACGAGAACATTGCATCGAAAGTTTACACCACTTCTATGTACACATCATCACTTTTGGCAAAAGAAATGGATTTTAAAATATGTAAACTCATTCTAAAATAAAAACCCAAGAATGCCAGCAGTAGAGCTCAAGGCATAATCAGGAGATACGGTCTCGTTTATAGGCATGAAAGAGATGTTAAAAATGTTGTTAAATGAGAATAGGCGAGAAAAAATAAACTTTCGTCAGGAAGAGCACAAAACTTAGCCTGCATTTCACTCTGGGCTGGCGTAGCGACGGCTGATTGTCGATACGCTCGTCCAGACATTCAAAAGATATACTACATACAGTGGGCGCGAGCGGCGACGCAGGATAAGGATTTAGTGACCCGGGAACTTGCATATTCCCCGAGCAAATAAAAGAACGTCATTTAGTACTGCAGCTATAAAGGAATACTAGGAGACAGTTCATGGGTGGTCACCGATGAAGCTTTATAACAGTTCCAGCTCACGGGTTAAAAGTGTATCACTATTAAATTATTCGGGGAAATAACAGCAATATTTGCACTTAACAAGATTTCATCAGAATGATGCTAATCTAAATTAATAGCGAGATTATCAGTACCAATAAAAAGGAGATTTAACGAAGTGTAGTTAGCCACGGCCATGTGAAAATTACCAATTCTATTTGGGGAAAATATGCACCGAATTTGCAGCTTCTATATATAATTTAAGGCTACAACTTAATTAGGCTTCGCGAATATTTGTTTGCTGCACAACTGCTTTATTTATATGCCTCCATGCAGACGATGGGCAGCAAGTATCGTCGTCTCAAAATATTCTGGCATAGACAAAAAGTTCTTTAATATCACTGCTATCACCTACGCAAAAAAATACGAATTGTCTAAAGTTTCAGCTACAGATGAGTCGACAGGCAGCGTTCATAGCAGTAAAAGTAACATCGTCACTGCGACGAACGCTACATCGCCGAGACGTTCGGGCACAAACTCAAGACATGATCTTGATTTATAATCAGAATAGAATGTTATTCAGTAGACAGTGTTGGAGCTAAAAATATCTTGCAACTTGTTTTTTGTACAAAGAAATCATAAAAACTAAGAAGAACAAAATAAGTCAAGCAAGCGGCAGAACTAAATTATGCGCATTTGTATTCCTCCTCGTATGAATTAGTTTAGTTTACAATTGACTTGAAAATCACGACTTTAATTCCAGACACGGCTATTTTGGAGGGCACTCGCACGTGGGGTGGAGGGGCGAGGTGAATAATGCAGAGCAAGATTGTAGGTAATTAGAAGAAAATTAGCAAGTAATGTAGAAGGCAGAGGAAAGAATGCAGCCAACGCCAGCACTCGGCATATCACGGGGAAACGTTTTTTTTATGAAAGGCAGTTTTATCTCACAAATGTTACCAAGTTCGCTTAGAAAGTCAACTGTAAGAGGACAAAGGCGGTGTAATCGCGGTTTGTCTGTTTAAAATTAGAATTATTATTAATACATCTAAGGGAAGTAGACTCCGCATAATCCAGCAGGGAAAAACGCGTGAACTGATTTCAATTCTTGAACTCAAAAAAAAACAAGAAATGTTGAACAGAAACTTGACCGCAACTGCAGGATGAAGTGGTAAAAATGATACTCGCTCGCTTGCAAAGGATGTTCTGAGTTCAGAACAACTCGCATTTCAATGAACTGAGGACAACGTCAGTAACACTTAAAAAAAGCATTTGAAAGCAGCAAAAATGAGCGTGTTGACATCCTGGCTTATATACATGCAAACAGAATAGACTCGTACGGCTGCTACTTCACGGTACACAATAGCCGAGGTTACCACGCTAGCGAACGAAATTCACGGAGCAACATAAGGGTTGGGAACACAAATACTTTTGCATCATAATACCAGAAATGACCATGACAGAAGTTTCCACAGAACACTTTCATCAAACTAATCATTAGATTTCCCTAAAGTACATTCATGAGTAAATGCAGAAATAAATTTTGCAGCCAACCTAACTGGTTTCCAGAGAGCACATCGAGAAAAAGACCAACAATTCACTTTAATTTTCGTTATAGAACTTGATTGTGCTATAAAACTGCAGTATGGCCACTCAAAATTGAGGCTTGTCAACCAACTGACATGAGTAATATCAATGAATGCACTGGCACTGCACATGATATTCATGTCGACATCGTCAGAGACTTGTGTGCATTACCTGTTGTCCGTAGGTTAAAATATTAGAGATTACTTTGAAAACGCAGCATGAGTCGCCAAAATTATGGTACTAATAATAACGCAGCGCTGAGTAACACATAGCCTCATCCAGAACTTATATTGAACACATCAATAACTTTTTTAACGAGATATATCTCAATGTCTTTGCAATTTAAAAAAATTCTTGGAACGAAGATTTAAATGTAATTTTTCAACCTTAACTCTTCTGCTTAAACTCTAACTCAAGCAAAGCATGGCGAGACCTCACAGATTAATGCAGCGAGTATAACAAAATCGTAACGTACCGAACCTGCATTTCTTTGATCTCGATCAGGTGAAAGCACATAATAGATATTTTATTATTCACACATGAGACATCTAAAGCACCGGCCACTGTACTGAGACACATGTACGGCTTTGTCGAGCTCTATTTCTTTGAGTTGGCAACAGGCGGGAACAATCAAACCAATCTGGTCCTAATGCTCACAAAAACAGGACCAGTACCTCTTCCTCCTCCACGACGTGGGCCAAGTACCACGGCGGTGAAGGGAAGCGCAGGAAGTGCATCATACCATTAAAAGTGTTTTAGACCGTAGGCTTGCCATAGGTTTACAAGCCAGCCTTGTGTTGCTTCAAGAGAGTAAGACAGACAATACTGGAAAGCGTAGAATTTCTTGCAATAAACATATGATAACACCGGGAAAATAGGCAGGGAGAATGATTGAACAAATTAAAGGGTTCTGTTGAGATAAAAACGCTTTGAGGAGAGGAGCAGCCAGCAAGAAATTAATGAGTCAAGGGCGGAAAGTGGCTAATCAGAGACAATATTCAGCAAGAGTAAATTTAACAGAGAATACTAATACTTCAAGGATTATCTTGTCCAGAGAGTTGGTACTCTCTTCAGTGGCGCGTTTATTGGCAATACGAATGGAACAAACGAATGGAACCGTCGGGGAACAAACGAGTGAAGAGTGATAACGGGAAGGAGGGTCTAAGTGCGGTTAGACCAGCATTAAGTTGGCTGGGAAGAAGAGATGTAATATAAGAGAGCACGATAGGGAGGGTTTAGGCATGGTAAGGCGCCACGTAGGTGGCCAGGAAGAAGAGATAACAGATAAGAGAGCCAGATAGAGGAGAGGGTTTAGGCGTGGTAAGGCGCCACGTAGGTGGCCAGGAAGAAGAGATAACAGATAAGAGAGCCAGATAGAGGAGAGGGTTTAGGCGTGGTAAGGCGCCACGTAGGTGGCCAGGAAGAAGAGATAACAGATAAGAGAGCCAGATAGAGGAGAGGGTTTAGGCGTGGTAAGGCGCCACGTAGGTGGCCGGGAAGAGGCCCCGCTTGTTGCCCACCTCGCCCGTCCACCAGTGCTGGTCAGAGCGATCAGTTACGGTGATGACGTCACCGCGACGGAACTCGAGCTCGCCGAACTCCTGAGGTGTGAAGTCGTACAGCGCTTGCACCAGGAACTGAAAAGCACACAGGATCAAACCAAAGAAATTCTGTGTCGGTGAAAGGCAGTAATGTGAATTAGGTAAATACAATGGTTATGTAGGTGAATACAGTGGAAATGAAGGTAAAAAAACTGATAATGGAAAATTCTCTGCTGAAGAGAAACACTATGATGGTCAAGAGATTTACAGTGGTAATGCAGAGATATTCAATGGAAATTCAAAGAAGTATACGTCTTCACATACCTTAAATTACCTCAGGGGAAAATTTTATTGCTCAACATGAGAGGTTATGTAACACGGCCTCATCTGCTCAGGGGTCATGTCTCTCAGCCTCACCTCCTCAGGGGTCATGTCTCTCAGCCTCACCTCCTCAGGGGTCATGTCTCTCAGCCTCACCTCCTCAGGGGTCATGTCTCTCAGCTTGATGTCTTGTGAACGTGACACTGAGGCAGACCGGTGATACTCAACGAGCTCATTAAGGGAATTGAACTTCACTACCCATAGGAAGAATTTGCTTTGGGGGTCACGCAGTACTTTGAAATGCTGCACTCCATCTCCGCACCTGTAGAAAAAGGCTCTCAGCAACACACATTCATTATGAACGCAAGCATTAACTTCATCTTGAATAATAAGACAATTTACCCTATTGGTGAGAAATGAGGAAAAATCAGAAGCTATTTTTTTTTGCTTTGTTGGTTTATTATGCATTTAATTCATTTTTTCATACTTAAGTTTGTTTTAAAAAGAAACTAAGATCACTAAAAAAGCTGCAATTTACTGAACAGCTGTAAAGTTGCTAATGATACACTAAGCATATTAAAAAAAGTTTGGAATTGTATACAGGCCATCCTAGCTCACTAGCTAAGGGGTTAAAATGAACTAACTCACTTGACAGATAGTGAAAAATCGCCCGGACTGCTCTCGCTAACTCTGATTAAGAAAGCTCCTTCATGTTTGTTCATTAGTAGCTTCTCAGCGTCTGCCCTGGTGATCCTTCCATAGTACCAGCTGAAAGAGGATGTCTTAAAGCCTTGTCCACAATTTATTTGCATCAAAGATCATAAGTAAAATGTCTTTGCAATATATTAACATAATGTTCAACTTTGAGAGGCAATTCAAATTTCATCTACAGCAATTTTCAGTAAAATGATTTTACTTTCCAAAAGTAGATGTATTTGCACACATATTATACATTGAATAAGGTCAAAAATATATATGAATCTTGCCAAAAAAACATGCATAATAAGGAACATTGTTTCCCGACTTGAGACCTGTCAATCCCTGCAAGCATTTAAATAGTTTTATAATCAAGGGTTGGTGGCATTTTACCATTATTATAGATTATACACAAAACTTTTTCAATTAATTTATAGAAGAAACATTCAAAACTTGATTAGATAATATATACTGAACAAAATATTTGAAAATGTTAAGAATTAGTTGTAGAGTAAGATAATAAATGAATGAAGATAAGATATTGAATGAACAAAGTTTTGAGGAAGGATGCAAATGAAGTGCAAGTACTCACTCGTGTTTGCGCATTTCTATATAGTTGCTGGGAATTAGGCCTTCTTTTGAGTCAAGTTCAGCTCTGTACCAGTTCATGTCATCCTCCATGTTGAGAACCTGTGGATAAATACAGCACTTCAGTAGTAGTGGCAGCTAGTTATCATGTTGTTATGACCTAATAAAGCTGCATTAACTGATCAACATTTTATTATTCAGTATGAGGAGAGGTTTAGAACTTACAAACTTGTGTGTAATTTGTAAAAACAGAATGAAAAACTAATACATCAACTAGAATATAGAAAAACATTCAAGAGGAGAAATGACAAAATGTCCTTATGCACCAAGTTTTAGGGACATTTTAAAAATCATAAACTAATATCAAAGCCTATGATTAGTTATAGCTTTCAGTTTTCATGTTATGCTAGATCAAACATGAATAATACCTGCATGGATGCACATTACTTTTACAACAAAAATGTAAGAAATTATTTTTCATTCATTGCATCAGTGGTTCAAGTTAATATTAAATTTAAAGCTTAAAATATCTATCTACACATGTTGGTGCTTATGGGAACATGTATAATTAGTAATGACATTATTTTAAATGACATAACAATTTAAAGAGAAGCAATATACTGACCTTTAATATTTGCCCTCTCCTAAAACTGAGCTCATCATCAGCAGTGGCTGAAAAATCATGCTTTGCGGTTGCCTCCATCGCACCACCAGCTAATAAGACAATGTGCAAATAAAGGATCCAAAAGTAATGGATAAAATGGCTAAAGTAAGCCCCAAATGGGCAGTGTAATAGTATTAGTCTCTGGAAATGAGGTGATGTCACTGGAAAAAAACAAACATTTTCAAAAAGATTTATCTAGAAAATTTTGCTTGAATATACCTGAAATTTGAAGTTCAGTTTTGTTATTGAGATAGATCTTATTTTGGAAGCCAGCAACACAACAGCAGTGGTGCTTTGGGTGGCATTGATGTTACATGCCTACAACTTGGCAAACTCTGTTCATATAGCCTCCACTCCATGGCTAGAAAGAATAAAAATTCATTCTGACCTTGTTACCAGGGGTTGTAAATACTATTTTTATAGCACAACCTTCCTGCATACATGATTATTATTCCAATTTTTCTCTTAGTTAATAATATATTGAGAGGGCAGGTTAGATTATTGATTTTATTTTGTGTTAGATAATATTGTATTTTTCCAATTCTTTTAAGGTATTACAGAATACAGCCAGCAAGTGCAAATAATAGAGCTAGGCACTGCATATATCTGCACCATTATAATAGGCATCATCACCTGTCCATGTTCCTCTCTAGTCTCAAATTCTTTACTACTCCTTTTCCCCACAATTCACGAATTCTTAACTACTCGTTTTGGCACAATCCTTGATGTATCTCATAAGCTGCTGATCCCATGTAATAAACTATGTAGCTTTGTTTTCAACTCTGTTTAATAAAACTCAGAAAACACCAACTTTAATTCCTGATAAATTAAGTAGCTGCAATAGACAAATACAAGCTGATGATGAATTCATCACACCCGCATAACTTAGCCAAATGGCTACATTGGCATCTCCGATGGGATCAGTCTTAGAACATCCTTCTAGCACTCTATCCACCCTGTTAATTCTCTAATCTCTTCTCTTCCAAGACTCATGGCTACACCTGACTATTTAAGCCGAAGGGGCCTCACTGCAGAGTTCAGTTCTGTGCGGGAGTTCCACGTTGGAGGTTTAGTCATTTGGCCGTAGTGGTGTAACCAAACTGATGGTCGGTGCAGTGATCCAAAGACAAACTACGATGGTATAGAGCTTCTCTTTTCTTGGAGCCAACATCCTGCACAGAAGAGATTTATTTCATCCTCGTATTTAACGAGACAAAGCTTCTCTTTTCTTGGAGTAAATGTCCTGCACAGGAGAGACTTACTTCATCCTTGTAATTATCAAGATAGAGCTTCCCTTCTTCCCAGAGCAAAAGTCCTGCACAGAAGAGACTTACTTCATACTCATCTTTATCAAGAGAGAGCTTTCCTTTTCCTGGAGCAAACGTCCTGCACAGAAGAGCCTTATTTCATCCTCTTATTTATCAACGACTGCCGAAGCAATGATTTGCACCGCTGTAGCAAGTCTCCAGGGCTCATACCAAAGCTTCACTGTCAGATTTGCCAAGGGACTTTTCTTCTCAACCCGGTGATGTACCAATGTGTAAATTGATATACTAGCATTTCTGTGTAGCCATTGTATCTAGTTTTCACTGCCTTAGTCCCAATTAACCATTCTGTGCCTGTTAGTGAATTGTGGCTAGTTCTATGGTCTCATTTGCTGCGTTAGATTTCTGTAGGCAGTTCTGTGCCCAAGTCTTGGCCACCATGTCCTAGCTCTGTAACTAGACGTAGGATATCTTGCCTTCTAGTATATGAAGATTGAGATAATTTTGTGTGTCATTCTCCTTGTCAAGTCGTAACTATCCAGTGTGAGATCCCTTACGTGCCGTCAAGTAGGCCACTCAAAAAATTACAAACTCTGGTTGATAAATGAGTACCTGGCTTGTCCAGGGTATTGTGTAATGCAATAAAATGGTTCTGGCAGGTCAGTGAGCCAGTGATGGTTGTAGAACTACCAGTGGTACTGAGTGCCCAGAAAAACTGACCTATCACCCCCCCTTCCTAGTCACGAATCAATGTTGGAAGGACTGTTCAGTGTTCACTCTATTCATTTGATTCTACTTAATAAAAAAATGCAGTTCATGGACAAACATACTGTATGAAAAATCAGTCTGTTACCATGTACCTAGTGTAGCACACTAGTTGGCAATTTGAACAGAATTCACTTTGAGTGACAATTTCTTTGTATGCAGGATGAACAATTTTTTGGAACCTAAAAAATATAATTACCAACCCCACCTATAACTTGAGTGTCAATATTATGGCCAAAAGAATGAGCCCCTTGCCTGTAAATAAGAGATATTAACCACTGATTTGCTGTTGTTGTAAACATAGATCTGCTGTTGTAGAGTCCGCAGCCAGAAACTGTATCTTCAACATTAAAAACAAGTAACTCCACCCAGGAAACTATGTCACATTCTTGCAAGAAATAATGAGAAAAACTTTAATGTATTCTGTCAACTTCATCAACTCAATATCATTCCTTTTAAAATTAACAGGGTCCTTAGGTACACAGAAGTCCAATGTTTTAAGCAATGTCCCTAAGCACTGTATTACAGAGCTCACTGTATCATATAGGACTGTCATTTTTGATGGGGTCCTCATCCCACCTGTGAGGTTAGTGTAGGATTTGCGTAGATAGCGCCTGCAAGATTGGTTAGTAGTAAATGCTCAAACAATTCTTGCAAGAGTGTTTAATGAGTCTTGCTCATATGGCCTTTTTAAAGAATGGTTAATAGGCCTCGCTTAAACAACCTTTTTCAAGAGTGGTTAATAGGTCTCACGCAAATGACCTCTTCCAAGAGTGGTTAATGGGTCTCACACTAATGGCCTCTTTCAAGAGCAGTTAGTGCATCTGCCTTGAATGTTCTCTCTCAAGAGTAGTTTGTATAGGTCTTGTGCAAACGACCTCTTGCATGTGCAAATGGCCTACTGCAATCTTTGCTTCTTGAGCTGTTCATCAATGCGTTTCTCTGTGTCTTGAAAGAGGGCTCATAGACGCTCATTTGTACTGGGAATATAACTTGCATTACTTAGTGGCAATATAAATATAAATAATTTACCTTTGAATTTAGTTTTAGTCATTTCAATATTTACCCTAGTTTCCACTTCTTGACATGACTTCTTCAAGATCTAAAGGTAAGGTGGCCCAGTGGTTATGGTCCAGAATACTGTGACTGAAGCAGCAAGGTGTGGGTTTGATCCCAGCTACCTACTACAGTTTTGGTCAAAGCAGCAAGGAGACCAGGGGTTAAGCACAGCAAAATTAGAGCACTGAGTTGCCTGTTAGAAACTGCAACAAGCTGTGAAAATTCTGCGATGTGAAGAATCGATGACAAGTAAAACATCTGACTGAACACTGAAACTGCTACATAGTACTATTTCAACCATTAGACACCAATATAGCTCCAGCCATTTATACAAAAATATGTCATTGCATAACATTGTAATTTTTTCTTCATGTATTTCTACATATTTGATTTTATTCCAGCCCTGAAAGAAGTAAGAATATCAGCGATAGCATAAGACTGCACATGTAACAAGGAAATAAATGGTCAATGTAAAACTAATGAACTGAATTTATATTCTCATTGTAATGCCACTTGTCAAGAATGGCAATTCTTCACTAGCCAAGGCAAGACAACATTCTGTGAGGACTTGGTGAGGTCCACCACCATGACATGGGGCAGTTCACTAAAGTTATGATGTTCATGAACGTCTTGTAGCAATTGAAAAAAATCATCCAATTTTCATTTGCTGAAAAAATTGCTTGGCCACAATCTAAGCATTTGGCTCTAGACGATTGACTGACTCAGGATGTCTGGAACAAACCTTCAACCACGAACCACCACACCTAGCATCTAGCAAGGTCCTCTCTCCCCAAAATGTCTCTTGGGCCCAGTGCATCAGTGCAGGTATCAGTGCATCAGGGCCCAGGCATGCATTAAAATTTGGGCCTTGGTCATAGGAAAACCTCTATTGACCAAATGCTCATTGTAATTACAGAGCAACAGGCCCAACAGCACTTGCTCTTCTCAAAGCGCTTGGTCTTCTTGGGCCACACTCCACAGCCCTTCATGACTCAATGCAAAGCAACCCATCCCACCATGGTGCAGAGTCGCCAATATATGGGTTTTTAAGCCCTAAGCGTCGCTGAGTAAAATTAAGATGCGTTGCCGGGTAATTTTTAATGAAAAGCCATTTACGCTGAGTAATGAAAAACTATTTACAAGCCACAAACTTATTTACAAGGTTGAACACACAGTGACGGAATGTAGGGATTTGGTAGGTTTGCATTCTAAAGGCTTTTCATAAATATGGCAACATTTTGTGATGTTTCATTGTTGCTGACCCGTACTACGGTGTTTTGAGAGTCACCTAAAGCAAACAGAACTTGAGTAACGCATACGGTTATTTTTTATAGTTTTTCATTTCTCGATGCGTCCTTAATGTGACGGAATATACTGCGTTTACCCTAATGCAGTCTGACCACTCTAATGTGACTGCAACTATGTAATCCTAAATTTGATGTTTACATTTTTGTTGGCAGGAACTCATCGCAACTGATTTCCGGACAAGCTTCACTCAAGTTCACTGCATCCTAATCCATCCTACATACTGGAATTCTGGAAACCTCACTTTTTTTAAATAGTTGGCCTTTGGCCAAAGACAGAAAAATATATTAAATGCAAGAATTTCAATCTAAATGTGTTGGCAAGACCTTCTGAACCATGGTCAGGAAGATGTGCCAGGTGCGCAGGAATTTATTTTGTCATTTTAACGACCTGCGCGGTGGGCCATACTACGTTGGTAAAAAATGCGCCGTGCACCGTATTTTAGAAAGCTAAAATAGTTCTACTATTTTAGTCGACAATATACGCGAGTATATTGACTACGTGAGTCGAACTGACAATAATAAAATGTAAGACATGTCCGGGTTACTTCTGACTCTTCCGGTTGTCCGCCTTGTCGGATACGGAATGTACGGTAATTGTAAACTGCGGCTGTTATACATACGAAATGTAAACAGACGGTGTTCAGTGTTGCCATATGACTTTGGAGAAAATTTCTTCTAAAATAAAGATGGCCGGGAGCCCGGGATTGCGCGAACACGTGCGCGAAGATAATCAATTTTCATTACATTGCGCCAACTGTGCACAGCAATAG